TTTTTTTTGTTTAGTTGTCTTTGTTCTGATTCAGTATTAAATACCAGGAGATTTTTTATGTGCAAAAACTTAATATATAAAAGAAGTGTGGAAAGCTAAAATGTTTAATAAAAGTAAATATTTAAGTATGTTCTATATTTTTTTAATGAATTTTTGGTCAAAATTCGACCAACAGACAGTCTATTATTAACTTTAACATATTTATAACGTATCCACCAGTAAATAAATAATTATGAATTACAAAATTATTCAAAATTTGTAACGTAAATGTAATAGAATTATTTCTATCTCAATAGAATCACCATCATCATCATCATCATGACATCCAACCAACCTTGGCGTTGGTCCTATTATGGTTAAGGAACATAGTATATTTTAATCTTTGAGGGTGAAAAAAGGTTTATAAATGATACAGCTTCTAATAATTTCTTATAATTCAGGTGGATTGTAGTTGCACCAGGGACTTCCTTTCTAGGGTATACCTGGTTCCCCGGTTATTAGTACCGGAGACGGCGTGCGGTTTTAGTCGGTTCGAGTCCGACTTGCCACCGATAGGTGGTATCCGAGGGGATTTCCGCACGGAAAAAAAAAGGGGGCTTCGCTCGCATTAATGTCAATTTTATATGAGTAGTCTATTTACTATTCCAGACTGCAATCTATCACTGCCAAATTTCGTCCAGATTCGTTCAGCCATTTTCAAAACTATTTTGTAACACTAATGGCATTGTGTTTGTGTGCAGACATAATTTAAAAAAAATGAAATATTCATTCACTTAATATACTATTTCCTATGTGACTAAGTATATGATTTCAATTAAACACTAGGCGGGGATGTCTCTTCATCACCCAAAGTATGAATGGAAGAAAATGCCTTCGCCTTGAAAAAAAGGTGGATTGTAGTTAATGATACTATTTTTTAAGTTAATTACGTCAAGAAGTGAAAAAAAAATTACATGAATAAATTACTGTTTTCAATAATACATAATTAATGAAATAACAAAAGGACGTCAGATGTTTTATGATTGACACGATACCAAGAGTTGTTATCCGCTGACCCACTTCTCGTCATCTGCAACAAATACCGCCTCTCTTATCATTTGTACTGATAACTACCATTAAAACAAAATATTTGCTCATTTTGTTATAACACATAATTATTCAAACTGATAGTGAAATTTAATGAGAAATGTAAGTTCCCACGGTAAATATTTTATTAAACCATTCTTCTTTTTTTGAAAAGACAACTCCCGCACTAGGAATATAATAACTTTACGAAACAATCATGTATCGGATACAAAGAACACCCAGACTCGGCACAACAATTTGTGGATGACACTAAGTGTGGTCCTATGTGGGTAACGAAACCACAGCGCAATAGAAAGCGTCCAACCTTTAACCAGCAGCGCTATTCTGTAAGAAAAGAGCTTTGCGTACAGCGCTGCCACAGCGTCGAACTTCAAACTAAGTTCGTTTGAAATTGGACGCTGTGATAGCGGTGTAGCGTCGAATTTCAAACGTTCAACGTTTCGGATGTCTTAATAACAGCAGTTGCCGCATCCCTCCTATTACAGGCGCAGAGTGGCACACCGTGTGGTTTTAGTCGGTCCGATTCCGACACACCAGCCCGCTGTAACCCCATTGGGGTGACGGCTCGAGGGGCTTTCCACATGTAAAAAAAAGCATAGTACGCAAGGCGATTACCTTAGAGAATAGCACTGCAGCAATAAATAATAAGATATTGGTATAGAAATAACTCTGATAACATCTACAACTTATCTCTGACCCAAAGTGGTTCGATGTCAACAAATATATAAAACGAAATTTGGAAATGACATAATAATTATTATCAGTTAATTTGGCGTATTAATATACATACCTCCCTAGATAAGGGTATTGCGCAGTTTGCACAATTTCGCGCTGATGTATGTGTTGTGTGTTTTCATCAGTAATCTACTGTTCTACATCCGAATTTGGATACAAATTATTTGAAACAACACGTCATTGAAAACAGGACCCTTCGGCTATGAACAAATAAGAAGCAATTTCCTATTTATAGTTATAAAATAACAACATTAGCAAATATACATCCACTCCCTTCACTAAGATTATCGGGATTCCACTGTTAGCTTTTAAGCATATTTTTGCCGCTCACTACCAATCTTTTTTTGTATGTGTTTTTATGAAGATTAGTTATTATACTGGAGGGCAGTCAGTCCAGCAACATGTTTCTTCTTCTTATAGATATAGGTTTGTTTATATTTGTCGATGTTCTGTATTTAGTTAAACGGTTACTATTTTCCCTACAAATCTCTAGGGGTCCATCTTTTTAATCTTTTGAATGTTGTATCTTTACTCATTAATTGCATAGCTAGCATATTGGGATGGTTATGAAGTCGGTTTCGATACGATGTCATCGAGTATTTTATCTCCTCCTGGACTGTTCTGATACTAAGTTCATAGTGTAGTGGTTGATTTGAACCAAAGAGCATTAGAGCACCAATCTATTGAACAAATTGTAGCCTGCCCTATTTCCGGGCCGATACAACCTCTAAACCTCAATCAAAGGCTGGCAAGTCCCATGAAACTTCTTAGTTGCAGGTGGCCATGGGTGGCGTCAGTCTCTTTCCATCAGCAGACTATATATTTGCGCCCTATGTCAATAACAGAACAAGTCATCTAATAACAATAATGAGAGAAAAATAGTTTTCTTTGTACAAGATTTTAAATTATAACGAAGTTGTTATAGTAGGCCAAAAGCTCCTTTTAAGTAGAGGCCTATGTCCAGCAGTGGACTCCTAAAGGCTGTTGATGTGTGGTGTGATGTGAAGTTAATAACGTAGATTTTTCCCAACACTAGTTTTCCAAAAAATACAGACTAATATAGCTGAGCAAATCCGATATCAAAAGGTGACAGCAGTATAAATTAGTGTGAAAAGGTCTATCGGTTTCCAGACTTCCCAATTCACAATTGATTCAAAGTATACATTTTTAAATATCCCATATATATACAAATAAATATGAATGTAGGGTAGCGTTGTGTACGCTTAAAAAACTGAAAAAGTTCTGCACCAATTGAGCTCGATACTTGGGGCGAGAGCTTGACACCAATTGGTCAATTCTCATTAAAGCAACCATAATGTGCCACAGCAAAGCATGACAGTGTACAGCTAGTTTTTCGATAAAATTTAAATAACAAAAATTAATATATAAGAAACAATGTATCGCGCAGGTATCGAGACAAACCCCAAAACCGGGTCTCACTGCAAAAAAAGTATATATTATTCATGGGATACTTTATTTTGGAATTACTCAAACCAGGCGAGACAAACCTAACCGAAAATTACTGCAATTCGATTCGATACCAATTCGAATAGTTGAATGGAGAATTAAAGAAAAAAAAGACCTGCAATGGTAAAAATACAAAAAAAAAACGGTATAGGCCTACCTGCAACATTACAACGTGCGCCCTCACACTGTCAAAATCACTCGTGAATAAAATTCAGAACCTTAGACTGAAGCCTGTTTTAGTTCTTTCATATTTCCCGAATTGAGTACCTTTAGATTACCATTGATACCGATCTTTGCAAAGGTTTTGATTGGAATAAAATCAAAAATACTAAAGATAAAAAAAATGCAAATGGGCGCTGTTGATGAAGCTTATTTCATAAATTAAAATTAATAAATATTTTATGAGTCTGAGTTCCTTCTGGTTACCTCTTAGTCTTATTAAGTTACTTATTTTTAATATTACTAATGTATTTGTGAGATTATCTTATAAAGGTAATTTTATGATGCTTCTAAGAAATGACAGTTTTATATTTTGTAGTAGACCAGTAGTATACCTAGATTCAGATCCAAGTTGCAAGTGTTAAATTTAGCTCATAAATTGTTTTTGATAGCTTCTAGTCTCACATAGTTTGCTTTAATATTATCCTTATGGCCTTCATAATATATTTTGCAATCATAGGATTAAGATCGCATTATTCTAATCATTTTTAATCAAACTTTTTTTTAAAAATTTATGACATTTATACAAGAAAAAAGGTGTGTAGATGTATTTTTATGTTTAATGGGCTTTAATAATGCCGCATAATTGTGTACAATTACATCAGCGGGATTTAGGACAGCTTGTTTATAAGTACGTAGAATCTTGATTTGATTCGCTCACAGGAAATTCTTTTAGATTTAAGTTTATCGTGATATACCTAAACTATGGTTTCGTTGTTTAGTTTAGTTTATTTTGTTATATTTATTAAACTTTTGACCCCGATGTATATTGGGTAAAAACCTAAATAACTTTATTAAAAAAATGATTTATCATTTTACTTAGATGATGGCAATAAATAGGTGCCTACATGAGAAATTAAAACACACACATACATTGACATTTATCTCTGAACGCAATAATAAAAAAATATAAACATATCCTGACCTGTGACACTTACTACAACAAAATAATGTCCATTTAACGTCACAGATTAAACAGTATCGTGATTTCTCTACGCAATATCGCACCGTTCGGTGACCTCAGTCCGTTTTGTGAAACTATTGCCTCCATCCTTTCAGCAGACGTTAGCAATGTTCCTTGAATATTGTATCTTACTGTTGATGAGCTATAATTACCTTCATTTTATTATCGTGTAATGTATAATTAACACTTGTTGTTTGACTGCACGCATGACGTAGTGGTTTGAGCAGCTACCTCGCCGCTTTCTGCTGCACTTCTTGTTGTGTGTTCGATGTGGGGACAATGGACAACACTTTGTGTGATCCTCAAAATTTATTATTGTTCTGAGCCTGTTTGTTCTTTGTGTCCGTTTCATGTATGTTTGTAAAGCTATATGCCTTTATGATATACTTATATGCCTTGATGGAAATGGAACATATATATACCATTAGTAAACATTGAGAAATGCAGTTTCACCCTCGTGTATGAACACTGCTCAGCTCTTTAAGTACGTAGCGTGATTGTAACGTGAACGTTTTTCTTTTGTCCGCAGGCGTGCAAGCGAGTTCCGCATAACATACGGCGACGTGAAATCGGGCCACGACGACGTAGACACGTTTGAACATATTATGAACGTGACGTCACACAACGAAGCTCTTCTTGCGTATTATTACCTGGATGGGGAGAATAAGGTAAGTCATTAACAGAATTCATCAACAATTAACTCTAAAAAGTTTTGCTTTTTTCTTGATAGAAACTATATTTATTTATATTATTATAGCAAAGATTTAAGCGGCTACAAAATTGTTTAAACGAAAGTTTAGATATTTGTAATCAATCAGCCGAAACGCCTGAACAGATCTGTAGAAATGTAGGCAGAGGTAGATTGCAGCCTGGAGCACAAGATACCTTTTATTACCAACTAATGTATTGGCAATAACATAGGCTAAGCCTCGGGCATAGCATACATAATTTAAAAAACAGCGACCCTTCGATTTACGAATTAAACCGCCGAAAAAAAACAATATGACTTGCAGATTTACGTCACCACTTTTTTGTTTTTATCCTCCTTCAATTTTCGTCGATAATACCAACAATGAGGTTGCTAGTCTTATTTTTTATCTATAAAAAAATAATACCCTTGGGTCCACTAATGATAAATGGTTTGGTTTATAGTTTCAAATTATAAATGAAGATCTATAAATAAGAAAAAACCAGTCTATTTCTCATAAAAGTTAAAGATTATTAATATTTTTAACAATTAAATTCGAACAAAATAGGCATTAAGTCACGTGACAGAGAACACTAATCAGAAAGTGTTACGTCACGCCACGCAAAACATCATTGATGTTTTTGACGTTTTTATACATCAGAGCAGGTTATATTGCTTTTATTATTGCATTTTGCTCCATATTGTTTTTCGTTTTTAGCATATTTTCTCACCTTAATACAGTTTCAGTTGACACTGGACACAGATGTAAACAGTTTTGTTTCGCAGACTGTGACGTCATTCTAGACGCCATGACACTATTCAGCGTTTTCAATCGAAATTTAAATTGTTTTTTTTTAAATACAAAATACGTAGTATATACAAAAGAATATAATTAACCAAGTTTTCAAATTGAGTCAACTAGCCTATTGTCTGTTACTAATACGAGTACTATACCGGTTATGAGTACGTAACACGTGCCTCATACTTTCTGTTCACAAACCCTTGTAACTGTCATTCTTGACCCCTGTTATCGTTGGCCAATGACGTGTGTGGCATTCGCAGGGTTATCAACAGTAATGTTCATTACATTTAAATATACTAGATTTTAGATCACTACTAGCCATCGAGGGTTTACTCTTTATCGCCATGCTGGTATTTCTCGTTCAATTTTGTAACTGACCGACTAAAGAAGAAACTGGAACACAGCAAAATGAAGTTCACTATTCTTCTGGTAAATATAAGGCTATACTTTTGAGAAGGGGTTTTATAGGTTACATATGGTATTTTTTATTTTATTTCGGACATCTAACACAACGCCATCTAGTTTTAAAACTAAGCAGAGCTTATACTATGAAAGCTAGATTGACTGATAGAATACTTATATACTTTTTTTTTGTAAATACACACATATTATATATATAAAAGACCAAAACTCCGAAAAAAATATTTGCAGATCATATAACCATTTGGTCCGAACCGGGAATCGAACCTAATACGTCAACACAGCAGTCGCATACGCTGCCACTGCACCACCGAGGTAGTCAGTATATTCTTAGATGGTCGATAGCCAATTACCGATTATCATTTTCTTTAGAGTCCATCCCTTTAATCGTCTTCTGGAGTTGACAGGTGTTCAAGTCAGGCAAGCAAGACTTTTTAACATCATCAGTAATAAACTGAGAATAAGATCAGAAAACCGGTGTTAGGCCATGTCTCCTTGATTTTTACTGAGTCAGTGAGCTTACTGGACGCCCAACCCAACCGCCTCTTCTTTTTTATTCTTTTGAGTAGTTGGTGTCTATAGGCGGCGGTAATTACTTAACATCAGAGGGCTGAGTGCGAGTTTATTTCACATCAACTCACTCTCGATAGCGAGCGCGTTCGGCGTTGCGATTGGTGGAGATTTTTGGCCAATCGTAGCGCCCAACTCGGTCGCCGATGTGAAATCAATTCGCACTTGGGCCTCTGGTGACACGTCTGCCCGTTTCCCGCCATAAAAACATGTTACATGTATGTCCATAGGAAGCTCGGTGTTGGTAGTGTAAATAATTTCTTCTGATTAATTTCCTTAATGTCGCCAAAGTACATAGTATTAATTAAGTAGTTTAACTTGACATAGGGATTATTACTATAGAGGTAAACAGTCATGAGCGTAAGTTGTGGATGCAGCTGGTGGATTGCTATAAATGACCAATGAGTTAATTGCTGCAATTTATAAGGTTACAAATTATAAGGAAAATAACGCATAACAGCAGCACTGCAAAGAGAAGGAAAATTTTACACAAACCCTTTTTTTTTTTTTTTTTTTTTAACGTGTGGAAATCCCCTCGGACCGTCACCCCTCCGGGGTTTGCGGCGGGGTGGTGTGTCGGACTCGGACCGACTAAAACCACACGGTGTGCCACTCTGCGCCTGTAACAGGAGGGATCCGGGAACAGCTGTTGTTAAGACATCCGGACCCCTCCTAGCGCCAGCCCGCTCCTGGTGCGGGCTCCGTCTCATTGTAGATGTTCCTCTCTTTAGGCGACGTCCGGCACACGCGGACGCCGCCCCCTCGCGGCTGGCCAACTAATGCGGGTGGAGGGGAAACCCACCCCGTCCACCCGCGGCCACACTCAGGGCGGCATGAGGCTGTGGTAGGCGGGCCTCCGCCGCCCGGTTCGCCGGCGGCGGATCGGGTCCGAGTGGAGGTCGTCCTCCCGGGCCCTCTCCGCCGCCTCCTTCCGCGAGATTACTACCTCGCAGAAGGTTGCGACCGCGGTAAAACAACTGTCGCTACCGGCCATGGAGCGTACTACGGCCGGTAGCGAGAGATCCACTCCGATGACTGCAGTGAGGGCCCGGCGCTGCGCCGCCCATGCGGGGCAGACCGCCAGCGTGTGCTGGGCCGAGTCCTCACTGCAGTCGCAGTGGTGGCAGGCGGGACTCAGTTCCCTCCTAGCGACCGTGTGCAGGTACTTTCCGAAGCAACCGTGCCCGGAAAGCACCTGCGTCAGTCGGAAGGAAAGGGTCCCGTGCTGCCGCCCTGCCCACTCGGCGATGACCGGCTGGAGAGCCTCCACGGCGGCGAAGCCAGCGCGTGGAGTCTCCAGCCGGAACGACCAACGAGCCATCGTGGCTCGGCGAGCGGCTTCGCGCCACTCGCGCACATCCTCGGACGGAGGGCGAAATCCGCTCTCCGCCCGGAAGTCAGCCACTCGCCGATAAACTTCGGCGAGCACTTCCGCCTCCAAATCCCACGGGGGAGTTCCGGCCAATGCGCATGCCACCTCCGTAGAAACGGTGCGGTAACCGCGTATGGCTCTGACCGCCATTACCCTCTGAGGGCGCCAGAGGCGTACCCTATTCTGGGCGGTCAGAGCCGCCGCCCACACCGGTGCACCGTACAGCGCCATTGACCGGACAACCCCCGTGTACAGCCGTCTTGTCGCGACGCTGGGTCCACCCATATTGGGCAAGAGTCGCCCTAGGGCAGACGCAGCGCCGACCAGCTTTGGAGCAAGCTGTCGGAAGTGCTCGTCGAAGAGCCACCTCCCGTCGAGGATCAGGCCCAGATATTTCATCTGGGCCCGAACCGGTACGAGGACCGAGTTGACCACTATTGAGGCGCCAGGGGGTGGACCACGACGGGGCCCATGAAATAACAGGGCCTCCGTCTTATCTAGGGCCACCCGTAAGCCCAGCGCCTCAATGCGCCCGACCACCAGGGAGACTCCCCCTGTGGCCAGGCGCGCCGCCTCTTGGAAGTTTGCCCCCCGGGCTGTCACGAGGGTATCGTCTGCGTAACAGATTACACCCAGCCCGGGGGGGAAATCGGCGCGAAGGGCCCAGTCGTACCCTATGTTCCACAAGAGGGGTCCAAGAACAGACCCCTGTGGAACACCGCACGACATGGGCCGACACCTCAGATTACCTTCTCGGTCCTCGTACACGACGGTACGCTCCTCTAAATAGTCTGCCACCAGCCGCCTCAGGTACTTTGGCACCCCATGATAGTGGAGTGCTTCCCTGATGCAGCTGAATGGCAGACTATTGAATGCGTTGGCGATGTCCAATGACACCGCCAACAGCACGCCGCCACAGCTCACGGCCTCTTCGGTCACGGCCCTCAGGCGCAACACAGCGTCGACTGTCGAACGCCCCGCCCGAAAAACCAAATTGGGCGTCCGACAGATCGGGGCCCACCTCGCAGAGGTGCCGGACGATGCGGGCAGAAAGAACCCTCTCAAACAATTTGCCCGCCTCGTCCAGCAGCACGATGGGCCTATAGGCCGCGACCGAATGGGCAGGCCGTCCCGGCTTCCTCAATAGGACCAGCTTCCCGCTCTTCCAGCACTCAGGGAAGCGTCCCGACGCCAAGCTAGCGTCGAACACCTCCCCGAGGCGGTCTGCCAAGTGGTTGAGGGCCAGGGCCAGCACTCGGGCCGGTACCCCGTCTGGCCCAGGGGCGGTGTTCTTGGAACGGATCCGTAGAACAGCCGCCCCTACCTCCGAATCCCGGACGGGCGGAACATTTTCCTCCCCGTGCTCCCCGTCGTCTCCGGCCAAGGAGGCCATCGCCGGGGGAGTGTGTTCCGCTCGTTGCGGGAAAAGGCCCTCAACCACTTCTCGCAGGAAGCTGGGCTGGAGAGTCTCCGTAAGGGGGGGGCCCGACGCGCGGAGCTTTTGTCGCACCGCGCGGTAAGGGCGACCCCAGGGGTCACGATTAAGACCCTCCAGCATCTCCTGTCTTTTTTCTTCTTTGGCGCGGCTAATGGCCAGCTTCAGAGTTTTCCGCGCCCGTCGGTACTCCTCATGAAGCCGGTCCTCCTCACCGTCTCCACGGTGACGCCGCCGACTGCGCGTGTAGGACCTCCGGGCACGTGTACAGGCCGCACGGAGGTCCGCCAGCTCCTGGGACCACCAGTAGACCTCCTTCCTTGGAGGCCGACGACCTCGAACGCGGGGCATGGCCGCATCGCATACATGCGTAATCGCATC